TCAGACTGAAGAAGTCTCTTGGAAGAGAGACGAAACGTTTCGTTAGAGAAGAACCCGTCCAGAAAAACAATGTGGACACTAATTACAGTCTGATGCCAAAGTGAAAGTAAAAACACACGWGGAGAACACAGGCAGGAGGTGGGATCCACTGTCTTAACTGATTGAAATGACTGAAGCAGAAAAGTAAATAAAAAATAATGTAGAAGAAAATAACTGGGATAAGCAGCATGTCTTTTGTGATGTGTTTGAGATCCTTTGCTTGCAGCATTTTGGCCTTTTGCTTATGGTCAGTTGTGTGTTTTCTGTGTCACGTCTCATCCAGCAGTGACCATGCAGAAGATGAGACTGAGGTCAAAGAGGAGTCCAGTGGTAAGCATGTTTTATGTTTGTCTCCTCTGCTTCAGTCTGTTAATGACAGATTTTAGCAAAACAAGAAAAATACTCAACAGTTTAACACACTGAACGTAGTTAAAGACGTCCTTTTTCTTTTTCCTTGAGGGATTATTTTCAGCCCCACTTTCTGAGAGTTTCAGTTGGACTCCAGCTGTCTGTGCTCATTTGACTTGTTTTTGGGGAGTTTTGCTGCTCATGTTGTTGCAACACCAATGCATGTGTGCCGTGTGGAAGCACTGAGACCTCAGTCATGGCTGCCTTACATTATCCCCCAGTGGATCTCCCTGTGTTTGGTTTGAAACCCAGCAGCCCCTCAGTTTATTAGCTGAGTCAGGTGRTAACATGTCTCTGTCCTGCAGGGACACTGTGTGTGGACAGGACTGTCCAACAGGCTCCCAGGACTACTCTGCTCATTGGGAACTTAGATGTGAAGGAGCCTGGGCGTGGACCTCAACAACTCACACTGGACCCCCAGCTCAGGAGCATGCTGCAGTGGGCGGCTGCCTCCATCGCCAACATCCCTCACATTCAGCTGAGTGCTGACAAAGGACTGCAGCAGGTGATTCTTCACAGCTTTATACTTCAGCACCAACACTTCCTTTGACCACAGCCACATTGTTTCTCTGTTTAAGTTGGTTCTTGGTCCTATAAAGTAGTGTCCTGGTTTTTATTAAAAAATACAGAAGAAAACCAGCAGAATCTGGTATAATGCAATATAATAAATTGTGTGATAAGGGCTGGGCGATATGGTAAAAAACAAAGTATCACAATTTATTTTCTCATATCACAATTTAACCAATAAATAGCCACATGAAAAAAAGACTTAATTCACGTTTACTAAAAACTTGCTGTGGTTCAGAATAGAATTTCACAATAAATCTGTCATTAAAATGTACAGGCAGCGCAGCAGTCACAATACCTCAGAAACTTACCCAAATAAGCAAATTCTGTGAGATTCAGCATTTTATTCTGGATTATATTTTGTTTGGTCAATTCCACAATTCTGTTCGTGTTTGCATTAATAATTTTATAAACAGACATGGAGCAGGAGAAGGTCGATTCTGATTGGCTGTTGTCGACCACAGCTCACAGCTGATCGAACCTGAAATTTTTCTCGATCAATAATCGATGAAATAATCACCCAGCACTGAAAGATCTTTACGTAAAGTGCATTTATACCATTAGGCTTGTTTTAGATACAGGTTGAAAGATTTACCTACATAATTAAATTGTTTCATGTATGACCATTTAAAAGGACATAATAAAAAAATATGTATTACCGTATTTATTCAAGTATAATACAAAAAATTAAATCCATAAAATCATCCATAAAGTTGTGGGGT